GGGTTTTGGGGGTTTGGGAATAAAGGGCTTGGGCTTGAGTTGAGGGTTTAGGTTCAGTACAGGGCCCCAATATGACACCATAGGACCCTATAGATCCTAAACTCTAGACTCTATACCCGAGGCTCTTATGGTTTAGGGTTTGACGTTGGGGTCTTAGGGCTTCGCGGGCTTAGGGTTTGGAACGCTACCAGTCCCTGTTTAGGGATCAGGGTGTACAGCTTATGGGTTTGGGTCTAGGGTTTAGCAGTTCAAGGCTTAGCGTTTAGCTGTTTTCTCTGTTGCAGGTCCGCTTTTTGGTTACCTTACAGGATGCTGAACAAATCACTGGCCAAGCCACAGAAGGAACTACAACCGAGACTACTGTAGGGGCTTAGGGGCTTCATAATTACCAAGACTGTTCAGGAGGTTCCTTGTTCCCCCTGTATTATCGTATGCCCGAAAACCCAATGCTAACCCTACCTTGTATAACTCCAAGTAACCCACCTTTTGGGGGACTCATACAACGAAATCGTATTAGGGAGCCCTGAAAAGGCAGGTTATTTGGGGGTCCAGGTAAACCCCAAACCGTGGCCATGTTACAGTTGGAACTTGTGTTCGAAAACCCTATCATCCTACGGCCGACCCGAACCTATAGGACCTACCTTGCTGGGGTTCCTTCTAATGATTTCGTTAAAGAAGTCCTTGAAAAGGTAGGTTCTTCGGTGCTGAGGAAAATACACCACCAAGCACACCGAAGTCTTAAGATGCCTGCACCCAGAACCCTACCATCTTAAACCCCAACCATAACCTAAACCCTATATCCCTAAACCCTAAACCCTAAACCCTGAACCCTGGCCCAACCATAACCTAAACCCTACCATCTCAATAAAAACCACCCAAAAACACCGAACCCTGGAGTCGGCTACGGTGCGAGCGCACCTCGGAGTAAGCCAAGGCCAAGTTGCCTTGTAAAAGGATTCTTCGGATTTCGGGTTCAGGGTTTTTTGGCATTTACGATGGCTTTTAAAGGACTTTTCCAGGATTTAGGGCTATGGGTTGAGGGCTTAAGATGGTTTACGGGTTTGGGTTTGGGGGGGTTAGGGTTTCCCGGTGACCCCGCATGTGACACTTGTGCTACAGGGTACACCCTAAACCCTAAACCGTTACAACCCTTTAAGGCAGCCGGGTTTTGGATCCTCAGGAAAGGGTTTGGGGATTCAGCATGCTCAAGTCTGTGCGAGGGGTTGCTCATGCTACAGCCCCTGTTTAGGATTTCATGGTTTGGGGTAAGTATCAGGTCTAAGCTTTAGGGGTTTAGGTTTCGGGCTTTAGCGATCTCTAAGTACGGAATCCATAAAGGTTTAGATGGCTTAGGGTTTAGGGGTTAGGGTGTAAGGTTAAAAGGTTCCATAAGGACTCCGAAAAAGGCTTCACATTATGTGGGATTCTATGCGTGTGCAAAAACCCTTGGCTTCGGGATCAAGGATTTCCCTTCCCGAATGGCCCAGTCCATAGACCCAAAAAGAAGTGCGCTTGGCCTGAATGCCCACACCCCTGATTCATAGAACCCTTCTTGATGCGGAGTTGGTTGGCACTCTTGTTACTGTCTGAGGGCCAGGACCCCTAAGCCCTAAACCCTAGGACCCCCAAACCCTGAATCGCCTAGGGTTTATTACGTTGCGGGTCTTCCTTCCGAAAGAGCGTTTGTGAGACTTGAGTTTGTAGGCTTTACGATTTGTGATATGGGGTGTTGCAGGTCTTCGGGCCTTTTCGGGTTTTGAGGTCTCGGGTTCGGCCCTGCACCCTAAAACCCAAACCATAAAACCTCAAACCTTAAAAAAAGCCCCATCCCTCTCCTTGCGTCTTTGCATCCTCAACATCAACCCGGCCCCAAGCTCTACTTAGTTTTTTGGGCTCTACCTCTTTGACCCGGTAACCTACTTTCCTAAGGTGCACCATTGATCATTCAGTTCTTCTTGCAGCTGTTCGCTTATAATATCTAAATCTGTATCTATATCTATATCTATATATATCTATATCTATATCTATATATATATATATATAAATATGTATATTGTGCAAATAGATCTTTCAGAACCCTACACCCTAAACAACCCGAGACCCTAAAGCCCTAAAGCAGAAAAAGCTGGGCCAGCTGCTGACGACGTGGGGTGCCTGAGTCTCTGAAGATTTTGGTTTCAATGTTTTGGGTTTTTGGTGTTAGAATTGTCTTTAGGGCTAGGATTTCGGGTTTTGTGGTTTTTGGTTGTGGGCTTTTGGGTTTACGGCTTTCGGGCTGGAAAGCCTCAAGACCTCACACCACAAATCTAAATCCTAAACCCTAAACCCTAAACCACAAATCTAAATCCTAACGGTTTCGGGATCGGGTCCTACAGTGGCTGCAAGAGAGGGTTCCACCGACAACCTTAACCCACGAAGTTACCTTAAACTACCAAACCCTACTTTTTTGTAGGTTCCTATTCTAAACCCTACTATGGAATTTATAGGGACACTACAAAAAAGTAGGTTTTGGTAGGTTAAGGTAGGGTTTAGGGTTTAGGGAGCGAGGTCTAGGACCAGAACCCTGCAAGTTTCCCCGCGAAGGCCCAGATTTCGGATCCTGTGCACCAGACTCGGACCCCCTTCACCATGGATAATTAAGGAATACAGCTTAAATCATAGTCTGAAGCCCTATACAATTTAAGCCATATTCCTTGATTAATTAAGGGGTATTTGAATCCCTAAGCCGCTACTGTACAACCTCCCTCAGAAATCGCCTCCCAACCACGACAATCACAAACTGGTAGGAACGCTGGACTAGCCTTAATATGGAGGCCTGACTAATTACTACAGGGCTCGTAATAAAACAAAACAATTGCCGTGCAATATACTCCAAAAGCCTATTCGAGTTTTTGAGCCGCCTACTTGAATGAACCGTTAGCCTTACCCGTAGCCGCGGCCAAACTCTCCGAACTGTGCTGGGCCTACCCACTCGTCGGCGCTCTCACGCAGCCTTTTTCCCGCTGCCGGCTTGAGGGTCTGGCTATCCACATCGCGCATGCACTTCACTACGCCTCGCAGGCCCTCTTACAACGTTCGTTTCGGATTCAGGGTACACCCAACCCGACGTCCAATAAAGCCTAGCTTCAATTGCTCATGAACCCATGCTTCCTACGATGCGCATCGACCAATTATATAAGCGTCCAGCTTTCTAAACCCTTGTACAACGTCAACATCCTCTAGACTCTACACCCTACGGGCCAAAGGCCCTTAACACAAAACCGAAAAGTCCTGAACCATAATCTCGTTCAGAACTCCTCGAACATATTTATAGATCCTGATAGCCTGCAGCATGCTAAATCCTGAACGGCCCTCCCTCAGCGCTCTTTGCTGCTGGTGGAGCATGGGCAATGGACTCTCCTCCTCGCAGTTGTTTTCCGCGCTTTAGTCAGGACAAGCATGATTACAGTTTTCAGGGGTTGTTGCAACAGTGAAAACAGTACAAACTCGAATAAGGTCGAATGATCTAGTCACCATGAAGATAACGGACGTTGACTAAGGGGCAAACAGCTTCAGCTTGAATTGTCACAGTTTTCGGAAAACCGTAAACCGTATAAGCCCTTAACCCTACACCCTAAACCCGTGCAGGCTCATACGATCTTCCTGTGACTGGCCTCAACTGCAGATGATTTCTGGAACCCAAAGAAGGCAAAATATGCATCAGGATCCAAGATGATGTGTTGAGGGTTTATAATGTCTGCTATCGGGTCGTCGCTATAGTTGCGTTTACTGTAGGGTGTTGGTGAACAGGAGATTACCACCTATGCCGCATAGTCTTAATGGACGTCTCAAAATGGAAGATCCCTGAGTCTATGTTTTCTTCCGGCCCTTGTCATCGTATGCCATTTTCTTCGAGCTACGATTTGGAATAGGGGTACCAGCACCGCACAACCACGTGGAATTTTGGTTTTTTCTATTGGTGTTGGGCCATTATGTTGCCTCCTTTGGGTTCTTTTGGGTAGCATTCAAGGTTTACGCTCAGCTCCTTGACCGTCACTGCGTTCTCGCAGCGCGTGCTTGCGTTAGGGTCTTGCCTGGCAAGCAGGATCTATCAGGAGCCTACACGTCAGTGAGCCCCACACCCGAAACCTAGAAAAACCTTGGAACACAAGGGCATCAATGATAAGACGATAGTCTACTAAAACTACTGTGTACGGCCTAACTTTGTCCGACCCCTACAAAGCACCCGAAGGGGCAAACCTTCCACTCCTCGAACCCCGAACCCGATAAAACAACAACTACATAATGTGCAAAATAACGTATAGCATAGAAAAGTAAGTATGTCATATAGTACTGTACAATACAGTCTAATATTAGTACGGAACTACACGGCAACAGTACTACTAAAACCCTGAACCCAAACTTAATAAACCACGGTTTTGGGGGGGTATGCAGCAAGATGACGATGTTGGCAACTTAACTTACTCAAGCACCGGTACTAATCATTGCGCAAAATCAGGCTCACTTTGTGCAGTCCGCTTCATGTACCCGGAAGGCCTTATTGCATCTCGAGAATGTGCGAGAAACCACCAAGAAATAATCATTGCGAGCTCTGACTACGGTTTCGGGTTTCGGGTTCGGTCACAAAGAGGCCGTCCTCCAACGTCTCAGTCTGTGCCAGTCTGGGGATCACCTCCATCTCCTGTGCGGCAAAAGCATACCAACAGCAAACACATAACTAGTCCTTCCAAAACCTCTGAATTTGAACTCGTAAATTATGGCAGGGTGTCTACATCATGACCTTCGGATCTTGCAGTCATGTGCAAGTAGTATTAAAACGTTGTGCATGAACATTCTGCTCTAGGTCGACTCTTTTCACGAAGAGCAAGCCCGTGACCGTCAAGTTTGAAATGTGCAAGTGATATTCTTGCATGAGCAAAGTGCTCCCCGCAAATCGGCAAGCTCTGTGCATCGGCTGTGTAAACCTTTGCTCTTTGTACCCGGCACCCTGTTCGGTACCGTTAAGCTGGGTTCGCTTTCCGTTTGGAGAGCAAGCTTGCTTTGAGGGCAAGGACACTAGTGCCAACTAGCATTGGCAACACTCCAAACACCGCCACGACGGCCGGCAACCTCAGATTCCCAACCCGACAAGCACAAATATAAGAAGGCTTCTTAGTATCTTGGTTTTTGTGATTATTGCTCTGATCACAGGATTATTGCCAGTGCCTGTTTTCGGCTGATGCCGCTGCTCAGCGATTGCATTTATTCGTAACGGTTATTGCCACTATTTCTGCTACTGCCACTGCTGTTGCTGTTGTTCTTCCTATTGCTACTGCTGTTGTCGATGTTACTCGGCTTGGCATTGTCAATGATGTTGCTGTTGCTAGTCGTCTTGCCGACCTTGCTGATAATGCCCATCGTTTTATCGTTGTCGCTGTCGTCATCGTTTTTGTGGTTGCTGCTGCTGCTGCTGCTGCTGTTTTTGTCGTTGTCGTCGTTGTGGTTGTGGCTGCTATTGTGGGTTTTGCTGTTGTTGTTGGCAGGGGTGAAGCGGTGGTGGTGGTGGTGGTGGTGGTGGTGGTGGTGGTGGTGGTGGTGGTGGTGGTGGTGGTGGTGGTGGTGGTGGTGGCGGCGGCGGCAGCTGCGGTGGTGGCGGTGGCGCTGGTGCTGTTGCTGTTGCTGTTGTTGTGGTTATGTTGCTGGTGCTGATGTTGTTGTTACTGTTGGTGCTGTTCGCGTCGGTGCTGTTGCCGCTGCCGTGGTTGTTGCTGCTGTCGGTGGCGGTGGTGGTGCTGCTGTCGGTGGTGAAGGTCTTCCTGTTGCTGTTGCCATTGCTGTTGCTGTTGTCGCCGTTGTTGATGTTGCTGTTGTTGCTGCGGCTGGTGCCGCCGCTGCTGCTGCTGTTGTTGCTGTTGTTGTTGCTGCTGGCGGTGTTGTTACTGCTACGGGCACTGTTATTACTAATTAGTGTTATTGTTCTTATTTTCTGTGTTGTTAGCATTGTTGTTATTCTTTTTGCCATTTCTAAGTATTTTGTGACTGCTACAGATAGCATCATTATCATTCTTGTTGCTGTGACTGTTACTGTTGCTGCTGATGCTACTGCGACAGTCTGCATTATTGTTCTGGTTGTGATCTCCTTACTGGACTTGCTATTTTATGTCCCTTGTTATTCCTGCTGTGCTGTTTACATTGTCGCTGTATGATACTGCTTGTTGTTACTGCTGCAACGATTGCTGCTGCTTGTAAATGTCATTGTTATTGCTGGTTAGGGTTGTGTCATTATTGCTATGCTGTCGTTATCGCCATTGCTTTTGGTGCTATCGAAATTGTTGTTGTTGTTGTTGTTGTTGTTGTTGTTGTTGTTGTTGTTGTTGTTGTTGTTGTTCGTGTTTCCTGGCTTTATTGAGGCTTGACATGCTTACTTGTACTACTTGCTGCTGTTGTTGCTGTTGTGGTTTTTGTTCGTGTTGTTATTGTTGTTCTTATTCTTACAATTGCTTTGGGTTGTTACAAGCAGATGTTTAAAAAGAACAGCTGTATTCAAGAAACGGACACTGCGGAACCAACATTGCAACTGCAACCAGGACTGGTACTCGAACCCTAACAGACGAAGAGAACTCTACTGCTCAGGATCCCAGCCACTGCGATGCACCTTGTGCCCATTGGGGATTGTTCACCCCCAGAGCATCAGTTGCACGTGGACCCGCGATGGCGTAGAGGAAGCGGCCCGGCATCAGAACTGCTTGGTAGAAGCTTGGCAAATGGTGGCGAAAACGTGGACTGACAAGTCCGTCCATGAACCAGCCTCGGCGGGCCCTTTAGAATAGCACTTGCAAGAGAAGTCTAAAGACGATCGCCTTACCCCAGGAAGGGAAAACAACAAATATACCAGCGGCCTGCCTAGCAGCTGCTGTGTGCGCTAGCCAGCACACCGTTCACTATAATGTTGCCTGAGAGGGTGAAGGGGTTGTAGAGACCGAATGCTGGGACAAAGCTGGAGGAGATCAATCTCGCAACCAGACAAGGGTGCCCAGGCACTCTGCACATCCACACATAGCCTAAAGGGAACTCCAGAAAGTTGGAATATGGTTTCAGGGCAGGATACCTTATAATTTGCCATAAAGGGTTTAGGATAATCATATTCCAACTTTCTGGCATCTACTTTAGGTTGGCCCGTTAAAATTGAAGCCTCGGCAAGAGAACTGCTTACTGGTATATACTTTGCAGAATAACAATGCAACAAAAAGCAAATCCCTGTACCAAGTAGCTTCCCACTGGAACATCCGAGGCATACAAGGATTTGGCACTGGCGAAGTCACACTTCTGAACGTGCTCAGAAGGAAGGCAAACGTGAAGAAAATGATCGGGAGACATCTCAAGCTGTTGGAGAAAAGGCGACCCCATTCCCAACTGCTGGGATGAATTCTCGGAAAGGCTTTGCAGCTGCAGCTTCACATATGGTGCCCACTTCTGCTCTGCATGGCCGAAGAAATAAACTTCATCGAAGATCAGATTGCCGTGCGAGTCGGCAGCAAGAACGCGGTCACCTGCACGCAACTCCTGCATGCTTTTCCTGGGCTTTGACGTAAACGGGGAGACAAAGGCATAGACTTTTATTTCATAGCGATTCCCATAAAGTAACAGTACACCCTAAACCCCAAACCCAAAAAAACATTAAAGTAGTGTAACACTCCAAAGCCCAAGGTTCACGCCATCTGGAGTCATCACTTCTGCGTGCGCTGGGAAGCAGCCACCCCCACCACCACCACTTGGGCATTTGTCCTTTAGATCACGCTGCGTCTCCTGCTTCTCCCACAACTTCTTCGCGTGGCCTTACTTCCCGAATACCGACTGCGATGAAAAATCCACACTTTCAGAATAAGACCACCATAGAAGAAGGAGCGACCATTTCTTGCCAATTTGTATGATCTTTTGCTAGTGATGTTTTCGGGCTAGCATTACCTGGTGTTCCTGAACTTCGTCCTCGTCTGCATGGGATTCATGTTGGTGCAATTTTATTTGTCTATCTTGTTTGCTTACATACACGCTTCGAAACATCCTCGTGCTTCCCGAGCAGAGCAGAATCCGACTGCAAGATTTCAAATTCAGGGAATCTTCCAGTAGGAGCCCTTGATATGAGGAATTTCTGTTCAAAGGTACATATCGGAAACAGGCGTCCGCACTTCCTGAGACTCACGAACGGACGCTCGAATGCGGTGTCTAGATACGATATCTAAACTGTTCTTCCAAAAGAGCACCAAATCCAGAATGCGAAAGAGTTGAGACTGGAGGGTTCAAGAGTTTGCGCTTGGGGCTTCGAACTCACGGTTGCAGCTCCCCCGTTGCGCCAACAGATCTGGTGTTGAGGACTTGTTAATTCGAGCATTCGTATACACCGAAGTGAGTCAAAAGGATCCGGTACACACGGCCTGATAATGCCTACGTACGGATCATGGGCAGTCCTGCAGGACAGGGTGCGGCCTCTGCGTGCCCTTCGGCAGCCACCGACCCAAAGTGTTAGAGTCTGCGAATGCCAGGATGTCCAGAATCCAAACGACTATTGACACAACCCTCAACTGAATTACTAGTAATTACTTGTTGTAGTGGAGCTCAAACAGTATATTCAAGACTATCGACTGAAAATGCTACATAACATAGGAAAGTTGTTACATATTCGCGCAACAATTGGTTAAGATGATGATTTGCTTGATGCCACCCGCCCGGATTCACATGTCCTTACAACTGTGCCTGATTGACGGTGTTGGTGTTACAGAACAGGATTTCTCTTCAACTTGAAAACGGATCTAGTGCAAAGGTAAAACGAACTACTTATCATAAAATGCGGAAACTCGGTTTGAGTGCTGCATTCTGATCACGGTTTTCTATCGTTTGCATGGAGGCTCACATGAAATGAACTGCCTTTTGAGGTAGTGTTACAGGTTCATGTGATGGTGAAGATACGAACCGTGATGATGCATTTCAAGGGTCTGGCCAATGACGATAGAATCTTGAGGGTCTTGAATGTGATGGCAACCAATACCGATGATGTGGTGTAGTTGTGAAAGGGTCATAGGCCAAAGGCCAATTTATACGGTATGATAACTTGGTTGGACGGCTTGGTGTATTAGTAAAGGGGCTCTAGGCAATACTTCGCATGATTATGTTAGTTTGGACTGCTCGGTGTACTAGAACATGGAGTCGAGGAATAAGCGGCTAGTCAAGTGATTTCTGTTCGGATTGCTTAGTGTAGTTGTAGCGGGATAGTCGGCAATACTGAGCATGGGCATTCGTGCTTGGATGGACAGTGAGGACTATCTGCAATACTTAGCATGAGTGTTCATGCTTGGATAGTGTAGGTTGCTTTCCGTGCCTTGGTTTCTTTTTTGCGCTCTGTGTCTCTGTATGTCTGAAAGCTACTGTTTATTGCGTTTTGTGTTGTTTCGTTCTTTCATTAGCTTATGAAATCTTTCTATCATTCTTTGTTTAATGCTGTGCGCCATGGTCTTCTTCTTTCCCTCCCCTCGGACACGCCAACCAAGCAAAGCAAAACCAATCAACAACATTGAAGAAACTAGTTAACAAACTAAAACCACCCAAAAATACCCTGCCCTATAGCTGTGTAGGAACTGCGAAAATAAAAAAAAAAAACAGCTCTTGAACCATGAAGTTGCATTTGCCGGCAGATACGTCAAATCCGAAGCCACCACCTGCATGGCTTCCCATTAGCTAATTCTAAACCTTAAAACCCGAAAACCCTAAACCCTTCTAAGTGACAGCCGAAGGATTCGTAGATGAAATGAAAAACTGTTTGCAGGAACGAAAACCACCCACATGTGGTTCTTTTGCACACCCGGAACCCAGCCTGTCTCCAGGACCTTTCCGATATGGTTGTGATCCGTGTCCACGACATATTGGCCTCCGAAGCACACGAAGAAGCAGGCCGATGCGCCGACGAATTCGGCGTCACCTTTTGTGGAATCGAAGTCATTCCAGTAGCCGTTGGAGATAGAAACATCCACTCCAGCGCCTAGCTGAACGCCCCAACACGCTTCTTGCAACTGCCCCCATTTGAAAATGCAGTCCTTCCCATCCCAACCCCCGTAGCCCTCAGCCCCAACTGCTGTCGTGCCGAAGGCGATGCCCATCGCTGCCGTTACGCCCACCTCATAACTCCGAGCTTTGCCATCGCAGCAGGTGGCTTGCTTGTGGTTCAGCCGGCGCCTGCGTCGACGACTGTCATCCTTGCCGGTAACGCTTTCATCAAGGTGCAAGGCCAGGGCGCTGAAACGCTTCTGGCTCCGGCTGGGTGTGGAGAAGCTCGAGGCATTGCGCAAATGGCTAAGGTGAGCAGCTCTTTGAAACATCGCTGCCGTCAAAGACCGGGTGGTGCTGACATACGTTGGTTCCGGTGGCTCGGTCAGCTTGGGCAAGGGCTTGCCCAACAAGGGGCACACATCAGCGAGAAAGTCTGCCATCCCCTTCACCTTCGTCAACGGCATGTTCATGAGCCGCTCCAGCGCGAGCTTGCACTCATCAGACCCGACTCCGAATTCGGCCTCTCTGCCCTTGGCTTCGCTACCCAACTTCTTGTCTTCTAAGCAGGCAACCATGAAGGATTCGTCAAAGTGCGGCTCATGGATGATGCCAGGCCAAGCATGCTTGGTACCCAGCTTGTCGAAGTGCGCATGAGTGACATCTTCTACAAGTCGCATACACTCCGGCTCCTCGTCGATCGGCAAGACCAAGTCGATGAGGACAGCACAGAAGCCTTCCGGCGTGGAAAGAGAACGACCGCCAAGCAGTCGATACTGCACCTCCATGTTGTAGATGACCCGGTCGCATTCGGATTCCAACACGCTCCTGTCTTCTTCAATCATCGGGCCCAAGAAAGTCTACACTTTTAGAATGGGCCAATCTCTAAGGCCAAAAAAGCTTAAAGGTTGCTCACTGCCTATCTAAGATTCGGATCTACCTCGCCGAGTGCAGACTCTCCCTCCACGAAGAGCCCTTGCTTGCAAACGCTGCCAAACTTCTCAATCTGCGCAATGATGGGCAGCTTGAGATCAGCATTCCTGTGGACAAACTGAAGGCAACCCTTGTAGAACATCGAGTCATAGCCGTAGGAGCCCTCGAGGTCCTTCGCCATGTCGCTGACAAACACCGGCGCCGTGTCTTCGCAGGACAATGCTCGGCTGGTATTTGACACGGCGCCCATGTGAAGCTTCATTGATTGGGCTGGGGCCCACAGGAGCAGCCAGGATGCCAAATACATCCCGGGCATTGCGAATGAAATAAGACAGAAAGTCTCACTAAATGACATCAAAGGCTTGATACCACTGCAGGAGCAACTTGGGTCGATACCTCTCGAATCACTTAAGGCGCTTTACTACCCTCGGCTAAACCCCGACCTCCAAACCCCAAATCAAACCCTACGCCCTAAGACCCAAAGCTTACACAATAAACCCTATGAGCCAACCCGTCCTCCTCCCTCCGCCGCGGCAACCAGATGGAAGATCCGAACCTTTTTATGTTTTGGGCTTCGGGGTTTGGAGTTTAGGGCTAGGTTTTGTTCTCGAGGGTTTAAGGGCTTAAAGTTTAGATGTCTCTTAGGATTGCAAGTCTATGATTTGGGCCATCATTGAATAAGGGGTTCATGGACCCGGAATCCGAAACCATCAACTCTACGACCTTAAATCGGTTGAAAAGGTGGTTGTGAGATCAGCGGTTCTTTGGCTATGAACCATAACTCTAAACCCTAAACCGGCCTAGAATAATCACACCGCATTCCCCAAGGCCTTCGTCGAGAGGTTTTAGAGGCTGATGGAAAACTGCTGCGAGTCGTCGACGTCCTCCTCTCTTCAGTGATTCAGGGTCAGCGAATAAACTTGAGGTTTTGGGCTTACGGTTTACCTTAACCCCAAAGAACCTACCTTTCTAGGCTTCCTGGGTATGATTTCCGTATATAAGTATGCGAAAAGCTAGGATATTCAGGGTTAAAGTAGGGTTTATGGTGCGTTATGTTTGCTTGTTGAAATGCCTGCTTGGGTATCTTGCTCGATGGGGCTGCAGGAGCCAAGCTCTACGCCTGGCCTAGCTGGCCTAGCTTAGGGGGTCCAGGGGCCTTAATAATTAGAATAGGGTCCCTTAAAAGGGTCAATAAGGGCTACTATGAGCGATCTATAAGGGTAGGGATCTATGGCAGAGCGTCGGAGAGCAAGGGCTTCGAACGCGAAGGCTTCACGGTTCGGGGTGTGCATGGAATAAGGGTTAGGGGGTTTTTGTAGACTTGGTGCTGAGGGCTAGGGCCTGGAGGTTTCAGAGTTTCGCCTAAACCCTAAACCGTGCCTGGGTGCTTCGGAACGAGCCGTGTCTGCATTTTTTGGTGGGCGGGCGAGTGGGGGAGGGTGAGAGGTATCCGTATCTGCTTAGCATGTCCTCCTCCTCTTCCAATCGGCAAAGTGGCCTCAGCGCGACGGGGGCGTTGGCAGCTGGATTAGCTGGTGTTGTCTAGGCAGGCAATTGGGATTAAATTTTCCAATGTTCTTTGCATGGCAGGTTCTCTTAGATTTTCCTTCGGTTTGCCGCAAAACCCCCGGCCCCGACTCCCTAAAGAAGTCCAAAATGTTGGAAAGAAGGAACCTCGGAGCTGTAAACATGTAAAACATGCATCCAGCAGCCTGGCCTACAAAAAATACAGTGGCCTCACCGAAACCCCTAAACCCTAAACCCTAAACATCGCATGCTCCCAAAGCGAGTTCTCGTCGATCTCCAGAGGCTGAGGCTGCGTTATACTGATCCGATGTACTCTCTAAGGGTTTATATACTCAAGTTCTGAAAAAAAAAATCGATCATAAACTCTGCACCCTAAACCTCTGAACTCTTGAAGTTTTAAGCCCGCAACAGCCCGAAACTCTAAATCATGTTTGTAGGTCTTCTTACCTCAAAGTTTAGGGGCTTTCCCTCATCAGGTCCTCCCCCACCCCCTTATCCCCCTATGGGTCCTTATGAGGTTTAGGGTATGAAACTCCAACATCCCTTGACTCTCGAGCAATAGCAGGATCCCTTCTATGATTTAAGGAATATTCCTAAGCCCTTCTAGATCCCCTTTTCAAGAAGCCTTCAAGGAACCTGTATAGAGATCTCTTATATGTTGGAGTCTCCCCAAATTTGGGACCCAAATAATTAAGTACCCGAACCCTAAACAGTAGGATCCTTATTATAAGGACCCCAAAGTAAGGAACCCTAATTTTTGGGAAACTCCCATATTGGAGTCTTTGAGAAACCCTAGTGCGGCCCAGGCGCGACAGGCGGTCGCCTGCCGGCTGCAACGTCCGAGCTGGCGAAACGCCTTCCGAGCCTCTTTGGGGGTTAGGGTTGCGGTTTAGGGTTTCTTTTTTGATCTCCTTTCTACGCCTGCTCGATCGTCCCAAGCTGACATGCGGTTTAGGGTTTAGGGTTTAAGGTTTAGGGATTCGGGTCTTGAGGTCTACGGTTTCGGGCTTTGGGTTTAGGGTTTTGGGTTTCGAGATTTGGGTTTAAGCTTTGGGGTTGAAGGATTGGGGCTTAGGATTTTGGGCTTGGGTTGAGGGTTCGGCGAAGAGAAATCGAATCCCCGCCAACAAAACTCATGCAGAGACCCTCTAAAATCAGGTTTGTCGAGGGGTAGAAGTTGTTCGTGCTGCCGGATGTCATGCTGCTGAATCAACGAGTGCACCCTTCAATCACCCTCCATCCCCTTCTTTCTCCAAGCACCAAAACCCAAAGGCCTAAACCGAAGAACTATAGGAGCCTTAACGATTAGCATAGGGTGTTTTAAAAGGGGTGTCTATAAGGGTCATCATAAGGGATGGGTAAACCGAAGAAGCGAAGTGAAGAGAACAGAAGATCTTGCTGGGTGAGGTCTGCGCTGGGGCAGAGGTGGTGTAAGATAGGGGCCTTACGAAGAGGCCCCAAAGTAGTTCCTTTTTGGGAGTACCTTATAGGATTCTATAGACGAACCCCAAAAAGGAACTACTTTGGGGCCTTAGGGTAGTGATTAGAATAGGGTTTTGGGTTTTCTTTAAAGAGGTTACTAACTTTGGCCACAAAGTATCTGAATGAGGACTACTGTAAAACCAAAGTATATACCATTTAAGTACAGGACCCCTAGTCATGCCGATCGGAGACAACACCCCGAAACACCTCACAAGTAACACAAAGACCCTTGAGACTAGGGCTCTTTCCCTCGCAGCTGCCACATCACTCGCTCACCTTTGTGCCCTCGAAAAGCCATCAAGCCCTAAAGCGATCCTATCGAAGCCACCGTTTTATCACCCGAATCAGCAGGCAGAAATGCAAAGCCTTTCGAGCGCAGCAAACCCAAGATTTGCTTCACATCGCTGTCTCAACTCTAACCCTATCCCTCCAAGGATCCCATGGTTAGGGCTCCTAGACCCCTTAAGGACCCCATAATAAGGTCCCTGGAGGGATAGGGTAAACCCTAAACCGTTCGCCATTTCTGAAAAATGACCTGCCCAGACCTTCCAAAATCCCTTAATTAAGGAATATCCCTGAAGCTATAGTAGGATCCTTAATATGATTTAAGGTATATTCCTTAATTAAGGGATTTTGGAAGGTCTGGGTGCCTCGACGCTCGGACTGCTTGGGCGAGGGTTCCGCATCACTCCAGGTCATGAGGCGAACGGCTTCCTTTTGTCGGGCTTTGGGTTCCCTTAAGTGTACAATAAAGATCTTTAAGGATACTATAAGGGTCCGCATGAGGGATCTATAAGGACACCCTCAGAAGGTTTAGGGTCTAGGGGACCTATAAACACGCCTTCAGGTTTCAGGTTTTTGGCTTTAGCGCCTTTGAACTTTAGGGCGTCGACATTTTGGAATTTCCAAACATATCCTGTAGGTTTGTAGGGAGTCAGGCTTTAGGTACTGTCATGGGGGACTTTTTCCCAAGTCATCATAAGGAATTTTTAATATAGAAACCCTACAGTCTTTTATATATATATATATATATATATATATATATATATATATATATATATATATATATATATATATATATAGGTACTTTGGGCTCTTTGGGTTAGGGTCTACCTAGACCGCTACGTACCCACTATCCAGGACCGTAAGGGCTCTATAAAGGGGCACTTACGGGGTCCTAGTGCAGGAGCCTGAGAAGATGCTGGCATGTCCGGGGAACTTTTGTCGGTTTGGATTTAGGGTTCATTCAGGGTTCAGGGTTTAGGCTTCAGGGTTTAGGGTTGCTTTATGGGGTTGCAACTCTAGGGTCTTATCAGATCCTCACAGGAGGTTATAAGCTTTACTTGCCTACACCCCTACTTAGTATTGGAGGATCGGGGACTTAGAAAGCAAGGTTATAAGTACCTTAATTGGGGTTTTAAGTAAGTGCAAGTATAGTTGCCTTACTTATAACCGTAGTTACTAAGTCCCATGATCCTTTAAGTACATCATAAGTCTGTAAGGCAGCCTCGGCTGAAGGGTGAATTGGGTAGTTTCCGGTGTAGCTCAGGGTTTCCGGGTCAGGTTTAGGGTTTAGGTTTAGGGTGTCGGGTCTAGGGTTGAGGTTTAGCGTTGTACTTCGGGTTCGAAGGTCAGAGCATGGGGCAGGGCGGAGGGATCACTTCACCCGGAACCCGAACCCAAACAAGCCCCAAAACTAGCTCTCAACCCTCACCCCAATGCTTTCGGGTCCCTAATCGAGGGTCCTTAATATTAACAATTAGAGCAGCTCTTTGGGGGATATTCTGCTGCTGGGAAACCTAAGGGGATACTATTGGTAGCCGTTCATGCTTCTACACTGAGTAAACCTTCAACCTTCAAGCCCAAGCCACAAAACCTTAAACCCCAACACCTAAACACCAAACCCTAAACCCGAAAAACCTAAAGCCCACCAACCAGCCCCAAAACAGCCAGCTGATTCAAAGGCTCCCGAAGACGGTTCTTGGCGGCGCGAGACATGGACCACTCCTGGTCTTGTGCAAGACCCTCGAAGGAAGCCCCTAAAGCAGGTTGCAAGGGGATCCCAAAAAGGAAGCCCATCAGGAGTGCTTGAAGGAAGCCTATAATTGAAGGAGCCCCTTACAAAAACAGAAGGGACTGTCATGGGGCCTGGGTTTCTGAACAGCAATTCTACTAACAAACCCAACAAAACGCGAACAAGGAGCCCAAGGAAGCATTCAAGGCAGATTCCAAGGCCGAACCCGGCCTCTTCACATAGGGTCCTTATTATAATAAGGCTAGCTATTATATGGGGTTTCCGAAAATAGGGGACACGAAAATGGTACCCTAAGTAGCAGGATCCTGATTGTAAGGACACCAAAATAAATATGGATGTTACAGATATGCATACAAACATGCGTGAACCCATGCAGGCATAATCTAGATACCACTCTGAGAGGGTCCTAAGTACCTATATCGGGGATGCCTACCCAAACCATAGTACCAATCTGTAGAATCGTAGTAAATCCTCCGGACCCTGAGCAGCCTTCTTATCGACCATACCGACTACGGAAAAGGGGAGTTTGCAGTAGTTGCTTATGGACTTCTGAGTTGTCCTTTAAGCCCTTTGAATTATTTTATTTTTTACGGTTCTCTACAGAATAGTATATAGGGGAAATGAAAAAAGATCCCAAAGGACAACCCAGACTGTATCGTGCTTTATGGAGTCCGTTGTGCTTTTCTTGTGCGTCGTGTCGTGGTTTCCGGTGATGGTTCCTTGGCCTGCCGGGACCTACCCCAAGGCCCCAAAGTAGTTCCTGTTCGGGATTACCTTATAGGATTCCATATACGAACCCCCAAAAGGAACTAGTTTGGGACCTTAGGGTAGCACAACTGCAAGTCGTTGGTCATGAGCCTAAGACTCGAAACAACAGGTCAGTGTAGGAGGTTCCCCGTTGCTTGTCCTTGGTTGTCATAGTCGGAATCCCAACCCTTCAACCGGACCTGATTGCAGAAACCCTATACCGTGAAACCCTTGAAAACTCAACCCTACAAATAAATCTAGACTCCCTTCCCTTCCAGATTCCTTGCAATTGGATCCCTTAAAGATCCCTTGTAGATCCCATTCAGGACCCTCAAGCCTGTGAGCCCTCAAACCTCGGGCCAAGAAGCATCTGCCGCACGCACTTCTCCTCGAAAAGCTTCCAGGGAGAGGTGCCGCGCGTAGGCGTAGGCCTGGCTTGTCGGGTTTGGGGGTGCCATAAAACCCGACACCCCTGAACCCTAAATCCTGCAAGACTGCAAGCCCCCTAAGTAGGGATTCGGAATGAAGGTCTAGTATTTAAAGGCCTCATCATGCTTTCGGTCAGGGTTCTGAATGTTTTTGCTTTTGCTCGAGGGCTACGGCTTTAAACCGGGCGTGGGGCGCAGTATTTCGGAGCCAGGACTGAGGGCTCTGGTAAGAAGCAGGATCATATGGAACCAAGTAGTCCAGGAACCAGCAGTTTCGAGTTTTGGGCATCAGACGGAAGTGTAGAACAAGCACCTTCAGCAAAAGCATCGCCTTGCTCCGGCTTTCCACGACGAACTGCAGGACGCCGACCGTGACACCGTAGGGTAGCAACATACTTGAAGATTTCAAAGAACGGATGTAGTCTTGGATCCTTTTGGAAGCTTGATTCCCTGTAAACCCTAAACCCTAAACTCTGGGATCCTGGCTGCAACTTGAACACCGGCAATGTTTTTCTAGGCAAGCCCGGCCTCCGAGGGTCCAAAGTACTCCCCATTATTGGACTTTAGACTTTAGGGCCTTTTGACGTACCAAAACCCGTAAATGAGGACAACTTGGACTTTTAGGGGAACTTCACGCAACCCTATAAACCCTCAACCCTAAATCTTAAACTCTCAACACTGACGGCCTCGTGATGATAAGGAGCCATTGCTGGAACAGCCCGCAGACACGACCATCCCGGGGGTTCGTGAGTGCCTCGTTTTGCCATGCAGGCTTCAGGGTGTTAGGGCGATCAGGTTACTGTAAGCGTATCTTCTACTATAACTTAGTAAGGAGCCCCTAAAATAGTACTGGTAATTGTTTGTTTAGGCCCCTATATAGCATTGAGGTTGCAGGTTCGAGGTTTTCAAGGTTAAAGGGCTTCTGGGATTTAGGGCTGCGTGGCAGAGCCTTGGTGGGGATGTCTGTCGAGGGTTCGTTTTCTAGGCATCGAAGCAGAGCTGCACATCTCCTTTTATGGGAGTTTCCGAAAATTAGAGGTACCTTATTATTATTTTAGGGTCCTTCTAATAAGGATCCTACTATTTAGGGTGCCATACTAGGGTCCCCTAATTTCGGAAACTCCCATATGTTACAAGCATCCGTCGGCTCTTGAACACCGGAATGCCGAGCCCCGAACTGCTGAAGGCCGATTCACCGACATCAGAAACGGTGGGTTTTTGTGCTATGAAACCCAAGGGGGAACAACTAATACAATTTATCCAAGCGCCCTCTTTATGTAAACCCCTAGCAAGTCCTCAAATAAACATTAAGACTCTTAAGTATCGCAAGCCCTTCTGAGACCTTGCAAAGCCATCAGAAAACCCTCAACCCTCCAGCCCACAAGGAAACCCAAAACCCTAGAACCATCCCAGACCCTAAAAATCTTAACCCTAAAGCCCTCCCTGAACCCTAATCCCTAAACCCTGAAACCCTCCCCAATCCCTAAACCCCACCCTCAACCCTCAACCCTAGAGCCCCGAACGCTCAAAGCCATGAATGGCCCAGAGCTGAAATGGCTAGATACCTCCGGAGATCGCCATCAGCGCACTCTCAGAGACGACTAAAACTTCTTTCCACCTGCTTAGGGATCTTTCGAATGTGGGGTTATAAGGGTTTAGGGGTCAATCATTCATGGGACCAGGTTGACGTTTAGACCGCAGAACGCACCAATCCGAAAGCTGCTGAATAAAGACATGCCCAGGTCAATCTTGCAACCACAGCTAGCAGCAACCATGCGCACTTCCTGCTGAGACTTTCTATAAGAAACGTTGGACACGCCCCTGGCTTGGTTCTTCGTCACGACACAGAAACCTGAACCTAAACATCCAAAGTCCCCACGCATCTTAACAAAACGGCCCTTCATTTAAGGTAGAATCCAGAAAGTTGACACGTCATTATTCTCATTATCCTCATGCCCTTAAGGTACAAGATAGGGAACCCAACACCAGTCATCCCTAAACCCATTTGCCCAATTTCGGCGGGCTCCACTATATGTCCTGGAAAACACAGTACGGTCTTTATGAGCAGGAACCCACAAACTACACAAGGGTTGATGGTCAGGATCCCTAAGCCCTAAACTGAATCCTTAACCATTATGTAATTTTGTCAGAAAACCCAACCCGGCTGCACCTGGCTCCAAGCGCGGTGATCACAGCGTTTGGGACCACGGTCGGGGGCGCATCTAAGGCTGGCGAAGCGCCGAAGATGTAACCTCGTCTTACTGGGTTCTTGGGCAGGAATTTAATTTACGATTCCCAAGTCGGGATCTACAGTAAATACTGCTGTAGGTTCCTTCCTTATGGTACCTGAACTTAAACCCCTAAACAAGAATCTCGTCTTGAGGCTGGGCTTTTAAAGGGTTTCATTCGGTTTAACCGAGGGTTTCGGTAGCGCTTTAAGAGGTTTCTTACCCTGAGCATCCGCTATTGATTAGGATCAATCGGGGCTGAGCCGAATTGATTTCGAAGGAAATCAATTATAAAACTTGATTCTCGCTATGTTTCATATCAATAGGTTAAAATGAAATCTGGAAGCGTAAAATCAATATTTAAATCAATAGAAATTTACTCCAAAATCAATCTTCAAATCAATCTTTATGGGGGCCTTACAGTCCGGGCTGAGACCTTTTTTGCACAAGGAGCACCTGCAATCCTGCCACTCATGGGGTGAAACATGCAGGGTGAAACGTCTGCTAACCCTGTTTCTAGGGTCTTGAAGCTGCAGAGGGAAAGCAGCCCTGTTTCTGGGGTTGAGGAGAGGGCAAGCAGCCCTGTTTCTAGGGTCTTGAGGCTGGAGAGGGTTTAGGGCCCATGTTGTTAGGGTCTTCGTAAGGTTGCACCCTTTTTCGAGAGGCAAGGCAACCCTGTTTCCAGGATCTGGAAGCTTGCACCCTCTTTCGAGGGGCATGGCAACCCTGTTTCCAGGGTTGCCAAGCTTGCACCCTGTTTCGAGAGGCAAGGCTGCTACAGCCGCTCCCTGTGGCTAGAACTCATCGGCCATGCCATCTAGCTCCGGCACCACATCGTGTATGGATGGGCGGGTCATAAGCAAGTGCATAAGAATTCTATACTTGTGCATGCTTTTGACACTGAGCCGTGTGGAGCGAACCCCGGAAGCCGCAGACTTTGCCAGGCGACTGACTCGGCCCACAAAATCTTCCGAAGCGAAGCACCAATGAGCACGTGGGTTGAGAAAACGTGAGTTTTCTACCAGGTGTTGAAACGTATGGTGCTTCATTACAATCCTGAATCCAGGGTACCCTTTTTCAAGGGACCACTGGTTCAGGAAGCTGTAGCTGTCGAGAAAGCCTTTTGCGAGGCTTTCTGCCTTGCGAAACTCATTGTCTGCAAGGAACATGTCGGCCTCATCGAAGACTTCGACGAGGTCCGACATGCACTCCAAGGCGGACAGCATAGAGCATTGCACAGGCTCGGTCGTGTCGAGCAGCTTCCTAGCCACTGTTGCGAGTGGCTTCAGCAAGTGTTTGTTCTCGGCACCCTTACACTCCAAGAAAGGAGTGACAGCCCATGGCGTTTTTGGATTGGTGAACATACTCAATCTCAAATTGGTTACACGGGTTTCTACTCGCAGAGCCGTGTATTCCCTTTGAATTGCTGCCCACAAAAGCCCGAGCCTCTCGGCCGGCGTTTTTTTCTGCACGTGGCCGGGCTCGTCCCACCAACAGAAAAAATGTAACACCGAGCCCAACAGGTGGGCATATATGCCTTTCGTGAACATAATGTGGAGCCCGTCGCCTCTTACAAGGCGAGTGGTCACACCGTCCAGGGTGAAGAGAGGATGGGCAGACCTCGGGTGCCGTGCTGCCTGCTTCGAGGTGACACGAACGAAGTTTTGCTTGTCCTGCTCGATTTCTTTGACCCATTTGCCATGTCGTGCTGCTTCCTCTTTCAAGGAAGCATCACACTCCCAGCACGGGTAGTGGGACTGCCAGTGTGGCAGTCCCACTACATTGCTGAAAAAGTCGTGGTCCCCTTGCAGGGACCAAATGATGCCTTTGTGATGGCCAGGAGTGAGCGGTTGGCCTTTCAGTTTCTCGAACACCGAACCCTTTTTCAAGGGTTCGTTCTCAGGCCCTTTTTTGGGGTGGTACCCTTTGGCGAGGGCATCGAAGCTCCAGACTAGCCATTTCATGATTCCAGGCCAGGTGCTCGCTGAGGTCGCTATTTTAGGGAACATTGCCATGAGGAAGTGCTTCATCAGACTATCGGAGAAAAGACTCAGAAGACTTCCGAAAGACCACACCATAAGGCTGTCCCTGGTCTGGTACTCCACACCGTCCCCGTGAACGAACAGCGGGACGACCTTCCTCTTCCAGTCCCTGCCTTTGAGGGCAGGTACATTCTCCAGTCGGTCGTCCCCTGTTGCGAGGGCACTGTTCCAAAAAGCTTCGAGCTTGTCCAAGCCCAAAGACTCGAAGATTGCCGGGTACCCTGTTGCGAGGGTACTGAAGACCATGTGTGGCAACATGATTCCGGCATCTTCAGTCGAGTCCTTGTTTGTTTTAGGGTCCAAGACCGGGATGGGCACCTGCAGAGGCTCTGGCACACGGCTAGCACTGCAAAACCTTCTCGTCACGTCCCTGGCACAGTTGCCGGGAACTTGCCCGAAGTTGCCAGCCTTGGCCAAGGCTACAACTTCCTCGTGCTCCACCCCGTCCAGTGTGGCGAGGAGGGCCAACCAACACATGGTCGTGGCTGCTATGTTCCCATGAGCCCACAAGGACAGCAACCCTGTTGCGAGGGAGCTTTCTCCTCTTTCAACCCTTTCCTTTTGCTCGGCCGTGCCCCTTGCCAAGTCCAGGGCATGGCCTCTGAGCCTCTTGGCTGGCTGGCCTCGCTCACGGCCGGCCATGGCTCTAGCTTCGCTATGATTTCAAGCCAAAACGGCAGCGAAGAGGTTCTGCTGCCAAGCAAGTTCCTTGAGGTGAGGCTTGGGCCTTGGGGCACTGCGTAAGGTTATTGAGGGTTCGGCTTGGGCTTGGGGCTTCTGGGTTTAAGGACCTAGAACCCAAAACACTGCTCACAAGAACCCTTTCTTTTTGGCAGAGCTGCAGCAGTGCAGTCCGGTCTGTCGCCAGCCTGTTGGCAGGCTCGGTCTACAAGCCGAAGCTGTGACACGAAAAAAAACTTTGTCGAGGACGGTTGTGCTCTGTTTCGAGAGCAACGGCTGTCCTGCTCTGTTTCGAGAGCAAAGGAGTGCTGTGCTCTGTTTCGAGAGCACTGGCAGTGGTCTTACACCCTGTTTCTAGGGATGCCACTGTGCCCGAGCTGATTACTTCAGCTTCGAGGACTTGCTGGGTGTTTTGGCAGCCATCGCCAGGAGTTCCTTCCCCAGGTCTTTCGCCTGGTTCGCCGTGGCCGCCGCCTGCTGAAGGAGGCTCACCACCACCTCCTTCTTGCAGGCTCTCTTCGAGGACACCACCCCCTTCGTCTTCTGCAGCAGCCCGTCCAGGTCTGCCAAAGCTTTTTTGGCATCCTTCTGCGAGGCGGCACTGCAGTAGGACGAAGCCTTGGCCTTTGCCAAGGCCTCTTCGAGGTTGTTGTATGTGCACGACAGCAGGTCCCTTGCCTTCTTGGCCTTGCCCAAGTAAGCTTGCACGTCGTCGTCCTTCTCCTCCGCTGTCGAGCCGTCCTGCAGGGCGAGCTGCCCTTCCTCCTGCTGCTGGCCTTTGCCTTTCCTGCCGCCTTTTCCTTTGGCTTTTCCACCCTTTGTCAAGGCCAGAGCCTTGCCTTTCCCTTTGCCCTCTGTGAGGCCCAAAAGCTTCTCCACGTCCAAGGCGAAAAAGTCCTCCAGGCCTTCTTCCTGCTCGTCGTCGTCTTCGAGGTGGAACTCTTGGCCACGGGACCAGTTCCGAGACCTCCTTCCAGAGGTCTCCTTGACGAAGTCGTGGTTGTCACGGTATTCCCACACCCCCCACGTGGTTGGGCATTCCCGGTACTGCACTCTGCCCGACTGGCAGTGGGCTTCAAGCTCGGCCTCTGTCCACTTGCTCAGGGCTTCTTTCTCCGACAACCACCTGTCAACCTTTCTCAAGGTCGTCGCCTCCTCCCTGTTTTCTGAGAAGTTGGCGAACTGTGGCACCTTGTCTCGAAGGAACCACAGTGTCGCAGCAGCACCTTTGTCTTTCTTCCCCAGCTTGTCCTGCTTCTCTTTGGCCTCGGGGTTCCTGTTCAAGTGGGTGTTGTGCTGGCTCCACAACTTGCTCTTGTCCAGCTTGCTGAGGCCCTGCTGGACCTTCGACACCGCCTCCTCTGCGGTGTCGGCTCCTTTTGCAAGGTCCTGAACCTTCTCTGCCAAACTTTTCTCCTTTCCCAGCTTCTTCAAGTTGTGCTTCGTCGGCTTGAGCACCCCTTTCAGGGGGCCCTTCGCCTTGGCCTTCGCAAGAGCCCCTTTCAGGGCCCTTGAAGCAAAAGACTTCGCTTTGGCCGTCGCTTTGGCCTTCGCTTTGGCCTTGGCCACACACTTGGCCTTGGCCTTCACTTTCTGAAGCTTGCTCGTCGGGAAGCTTCCTTTTTTCCCCATTCTGGGGTCTTCGGACAAACCCACTCCTCAGGAGTGGGTTTTCTGCGAAAAAAACTAAGCTTGAAGCTTCTTTCTTTGAGCCACATGGCGGCCCGTTTCGGCTTCTGGTCCCGGAGTTAAAAAAAAAAACATTAGAGGGTTTTGTGATGGGGTGTAGGGGCTTAGGGGGGTAGGGCTTTGGGGGTTTGGCTTTTGAAGGTTTCAAAGGTTTGGGGTGTTGGGTGTTCTAGGTTTCCGTGGCTTTAGGTTTCAAGCCTTTAAGGCTTTGAGGGTTTAAATAATTATTCTTCTAGGGTTTTGAGGGGATTGGGGATTTTAGGTTTCAAGGGCTTTGGGGGTTTGGCTTTTTAAGGTTTCGAAGGTTTGGGGTTTTGGGTGTTCTAGGTTTCCGTGGCTTTAGGTTTGAAGCCTTTAAGGCTTTGAGGGTTTAAATAATTATTATTCTAGGGTTTTGAGGGGATTGGGGATTTTTGGTTTCAAGGGCTTTGGGGGTTTGGGGGTTCTAGGCTTCAGGGTTGTTTAAGGTTTTGGGCGGTTTAAGGGTTTTCGAGGTTTCGGGTTTTCGGGCTTTGATGGTTTGTGGTTTTGTGAGTGTTGCTGTCATTTGGGGTTTGTTGTGCCCTCTTTCGAGGGCTTGGGATTTCTGTTTATATATATATATACACACAA